TTCCTTCCTTCCTTCCTTCCTTCCTTCCTTCCTTCTTTCTTTCTTTCTTTCTTTCTTTCTTTCTTTCTTTCTTTCTTTCTTTCTTTCTTTCTTGTGTGTGTTTGAGGCAGGTCTCATGTAGCCCAGGTCACCCTCAAACTTAATGTTTAGCTGAGGATGTCCCTGAACTTGTGATCCCCCTGTCTCCACCTTCCTAGTCCTGAGATTACAGTGGTGTGCACCATGCCTAGTTGATGCTGTGCTGGAGCTCACACCCAGGCAGGGCCTTGTGCATGCAGGCAAGCACTCTACCAATTCGGCTACAATCCCAGTCTTGAAATCCTTTTGAGAGCTATAGTTTCTCCAGAATGGATGCCTGTGTTTCTCCACTGTATTAAAGACTGAGGGGGCCTCTTTCTTTCTTTTCCTTCCTTCCTTAAGACAGGGTTTCTCTGTGTAGCCCAGGCTGGCCTAGAACTCGCTCTGTAGACCAGCCTGGCCTTGAACTCACAAAGATGGGCTTGCCTCTGCCTCCCAAGTGCTGGCATTAAAGGCCTGTGCCACCTGGCGGTGAGGGAACCCTCAACGGAGCCGATAAAGGCGGAACCAGCTTTTGCCCTCTTCCCTCTGTCAGGGATCCCAGGAAGCCTCTGAGGTTTTCTTGGGGAGCTTTGCCTGGGGAGCGGTGAGCCTGCAACCCCACACACCAGGAGGGCTTTGTAGACGGCACTGAGAGGTGTCTAAAGTTGTTGGGGGACAGGAGTCTTTTCCTTCCTGTTTTCACTGTTGTGTTTGGCCTTGTTTAGAGTTAGGGTCAAAAGTCTTCGAGTCAGGGCTGGGGATTCTTTGGGATAGGGATAACTCTTCTCAGGCTGTTAAACTATAGCACTGTCTTCTAGCCACCAGATGCCAGCGGCACCCTGCCCCCAGTGATGACAATCAAAATGTCTCCAGACATTGCCAAATGTCCCCCGGGAGCAAAACCAGCCCACTCGAGAAAGCGAGACACTAACTTGAGGCCGTCTGTGACGAGAAGGCCTGTGGGTGTCCTGGTGACCCACAGCCGCCTCCCTCTTCCCCCTGCAGGCCTTGGAAGAACCTTAGCCTTTCCCTCCTAGGAAGGGGCTGGAGAGTGGGGCTGCAGAACCGACTCAGACACCCTGCTTCGAAGCCTTTCTTAGGGTTTTTCCAAAGTAACTTTTGGAGTGTGGCTGTGGGCTAATCTTCTTAGGGTGCAGACAGAAGAGCAGGTGCAGGGGACGAAGGTCCTGGGAATGGGGACCTGAGTTTCTCTGCCCGACCCAGGAGGGCAGAGCTCCTCCTCCGTGCATCCCTGTCCCTTACCCCTCAATACTGCAGGTGGAGGTTCCTGTGGGTAGACCTCAGTTCTGTCAGGATTCCCAGAAAGCCCCTGAGACTTCCCGGGGCATCTTAGCCTGGGGAGAGGTGAACCCGCACCCACAAAGCTAGGACTCGGGCCCCAGGAGTCGGGTAGGAAGCCCTCGTTTGGGGGTCCCTATGGCTCAGGGAGTGGGTAGCCGAGAGGTGGGTAGCTTTCAGTGTCAGATCTCCAAGGCTGGGAACGGAGGTTTGAATGTATTCTGAGGCGTCTGTGTGTATGGAGGTCTGTCTGTCTGCCTGTGGTCTGGAGGGACAGTGTGAGGACCCGTGCGCACTGCCGAAGGTGCTGCTCACCCCGGTAGGCGACGTTTGTAGCAGGCATGCGTCCCTGTGCCTCTTCCTGGGGGGGGGGGTCCACCCTGGTGCAGAGTGGAGTGCCCTGTGAGTCGGGGTGCCCCCTAGCTCTTCACTTTGAGGCACTTCCCAAAGCCACCCCAGCCCGTGTGTGTGTGTGTGTGTGTGTGTGTGTGTGTGTGTGTGTGTGTGTGTGTGTGTCACTGGCCCCTCCTGGAACGCGAGCGAGCAAGCGAGCGAGTGCTGGCGGTCCTCCGCGTGTGTGAGTGCCGGGCCCCGTGCGTGTGTAGGCTGGGTGTGATGTAATATTCAGTGACACAGCGCGGCTGTTCCATTCGTTCACACCACCTCCGCGTTTCTCGGTCCTTCTCACCCCTCCCCCGTGCGGCGGTTCACGATCACTTTTCTCCTCCCGAGTTTTTTCAGAGCCACGTGGGGTGGAGGAGCATGTCTCTCACCCTTGATCTTAACCAGGAAGGAGTGGGGTGTGGGAGTCCAGTGGGGGACCCCGGGCGGTGGGCTTCCTGAGCCCTGAGGGCTGGGGATTTCAGAGCTGTGTCAGGCCTCATGGAAATGGCAAGTTTTGGGTCTCAGAGGAGGCGAACAACTCACCCAAGGTCACGCACTAAAGTGGTACAGGACAAGGGCCAGAAAAAAAAGACTGGCCTGGTGTCCAGTCGGGCATTCCTGTTCACCCACTGATCTCTGCCTCTCCAAGGACTTTACACCAAAGGAAGCCAAATCCTTCTCTTGATCCCTTAATCCCACCCCTATCCACAAGCTCACCAGAGTGTGAGCTGCGTGGCTAACCTCCCCAGCCCCCCAGGATTTCCAAGCTCTTCTTCCAGCCTCCACGGCTGACTGACTGCTATCCCTGACTGACTGCTATCCCGGGAGAGAAAGCCGGAAGGGCCACAAACCCAGCAGGCCGGGGGGTTCAGAGGGCGACTCCCCTGACCCCAGGCCCTCGTCCAGGCTGAGGTCAAGCTCATCAGGAGCTGGCAAGCCTCCCCTCCGTCTTGTCCCAACTTCCTGTCTGGCCCCCTCACTTCTTCCAGTGCCTCTCTTCTCTTTGGCCCCACAGTGGCCTTCCTGCTGCCCCGTCTAAGCCTTTTCTCTCGGTGGGATCTACTTCCCTCCGTCTCAGTGGTCTTCCTTGCAGGGAGGGCCCTTTGAGGAGGGACCCTGTGTGCTGGGGGGTGGGGGGGGTGCTCCACGGCAGCTGCTGCGTAACAGTGACTCTGTTGCCATTTCTGGCCCTCACTGCCGCGCAAAGCAGCTGTAACCCAAGGAGCTTCATCCATAATTCAGGTTGTGGCTCTCACTGGAGGCAGGGGGGAGGGGGAGGAGGGGCTCTGGGCTTCTCTGCCCCCAGGCTGGGTTGGAGTGGGCACTCCAGGCAGAGGCAAGGTAGGGGGCTGGGAGAGCACCTTTCCCTCCCCCCTCTCCCACGTCTCCCCCATGCTCCCCCCCCCCAAGTCCCGCTTTTCACACGCCTCTTCACAGCCATTCCAGGCCCTCCCCTGAGGACCACGCTATACTCCAGGTTCCCCTATGCATGTCCTGGTCAGGTACAGTGTGTCAGAGGTGGGTTAGGGATTCTCTAGCCACTATCTAGGATAAACCTTTGTGAGACAGGAAACCCCCCCCTCCCCCCGAGGGCTGGAGAGCAGAAAAGTCGGCTTCTGGTTGGAAGAGCCCCTTTCTGTCCTCAGAATCCTGGTTTCTTTCCTCCCCGGTGGGGAAGGGAGAGGGAAGCCTTTTTTTTTCTGCCAGCCTCCCTCACCCCCTGCTCATCCCTTCCTCTGAAGTCAGCAGGTAAAGCCCCCGGGATGAATGGTGTGTGGGACCAGAGAAGGAATCAATCTGTTACCGTGTACCTACTGTGCGCCAGCACCCCGCTTGTGATGCAGCCTTCTTTATCCGTGGAACCCCACCTGTCACGACCCCTGGTGAGATCAACAGCACCAAGGTCCCAACCTTCCTAGGAAGGGAGGGAGACTTCACTGTGCGGCCCAAGTGTAATGTGAGATCCAGAGCAGCAGACGCAGGTGCCGGACTGTGCTCAGAGGACACACGCTGACTTTTCTTAGGGAGCCCCGACCCCTACCACACCCCCTGGATGTGAGATGCTAGCCTAGAGGTAAAGGGAATATAGGTACCCTGCCCATATGCTCAGGCTTGGGACACTCACAGTGATAGCCATTTGGCTGTTCAGGATCGAGGCGGGGAAAGGGACCTAGGCTCTCTCTATAGATTTCCACTCCTGGGCTCCAAGGCTCTGGTTATCCAGGAAGAGGTGGCCAATGACCAAAGGCATAATAACCACATCTGGCCACAGGAGGGAGTGGAGAGAGGCCACAACATGATATTGATCTTGGAAGGCTAAGGTACCCAGAGCCAAAAGGATCCATTCACCAAAGGATCACGGTCAAGGCCCAAGGGCTGCCAGACCTTGGAATACCCGGGTTCTGAGATGAGGATCTCGGCCTGTGCCAACCGTTAGGCCAGAGGGAATAAGAAACTTGAAGGGGGCGGGAGCAGAGTCCAAGGCAGGAACTAGAGTGCACCATAATGGGGCAGAGCTATCCCAGGGAAAGTAGACAGGCCTCTCTGGCTCTAGAAATAGGGTACAGGGCCCCAAATACAAGCACCATCTCCACACTTTAAACACGGCCTCAGGGAAGAGCCAGGGGCCTACCCAGCAGATGCTGAGGGGGCAGAGGCTGGGGGGGGGGCTTGGGAGTGGCATGGGGGCGATGGCATACCAGTGACGCAGGGGCCTGGGGAGGCACTGATGCAGGTGACTGGAGGTTTTGAAGCTGCTGCAAACAGCTTCTCACTCTGCCAGAATGTAACACCCCAAAATAAGCAGCTACTGTGGGGCGGCAGGATCCGACGTCGGGGCTTGGAGATATAAATGGCAGCACTGAGCCAGCCCAGGTGCCCACCCCAAGGAGGCTGCCACCCCCCTCACACACCACACACACAAGTGCTCACCCTCCTTCTCTTACAGCAGCCCCAGGCCCTGAGCTCAAAGTCCCCTGGACTAGCCCACCAGCCACTCCCTGAGAGAAGGGAAAGAACAGGCAGGCGCTTTAGAATGGAGGGCTGCCTTCCCACGTGGAAGTGGTTACCAGGAGCCTCTTTGTCTCTTTCCTGGGCACCTCATCGCTTCTCTTCCATCTCCTCCTCTGGCTTCTATTGCCATCCCGAGCCTTCTCTAACCACTCTACCATGTAGGGATCTGGGTCCCCAGTCCTGGTGACCATTTTCCCCAGTGTCTGATCCTTACATCTGTCCTCCATCACCAGCTTCCGCTGGCTTCTAGTCTTGCCATCCCTTTCCATTCCAGTCTCCCAGAGCCCCAGTCCTCACCCTTCCGGTTATCTCCCCCGCCCCGCGCCCCACTAGCTTCCTATCCCTAGCCTCTACAATTCTCTCCTGAACTGGTCCCCTTCTCCCTCTCCCTTGGTCTTCCCCTGGACCCTGGTTTCTACCAAGCTTTCCTGTCGTCTAACCTTTATTCCTCCTCCCGCCCTCCCCCCATCCCGCCCCCACCTCCTCTTTCTCACACCCCCACCTCTCTAGACACTTTTCTCATCTTGACTCCCCTCCTCCCTCCGACCCCTACCCTCCCCGCCCCCAGTCTCCAGCCCACACCCTTGGCTGCCACTCAGTGCTTGGAACTAGCCTCTCTTCTAGCCCCTCCATCTGTCCGACCAGACAAGGCCATAGGGAAATCGCTCTCTGCCCCCTACCATTCCCGGACAGCCCCCTACCCACATGGCTCGTCTTCCCAGGTGACTGGAAAGTGCTGAGACACCGGGCATGAGGAGTTGCTGAGTCGGCGCTTCCCCAGCCGGCCCGAGTCCTCGGCGTCCCCCGGAGCAGGTGGAGCCGGGACAGCGGAACCTGAGCCTCTTTCTTTCTCCTCCTCCCAGCCTGCTCGGTCTGCCCTCCGCGTCGCCCCTTGGTCACGAGCTCCCCGCACACTCCCCGCAGGCTCCAAGCCCAGTGCCCTCCTGCGGCTGGCAGCTATGGGGGCGGAGGCGCGGCTCCCGCGCTAAGCGGTTTTTTTTTTTTGCTCCCAGCCCACCCCACCCCCTTCACTGCCCCACCCTCATGCCCAAAGAGAGGGGCGCCCCTCTCTAGGGTCCTCCCGCCGGACGTTGTCCCTACCTTGCAGCAGGCGCCGGAGCCCGGGAAGCATCTTGTCTCGACGCTCGGGGGAGGGGGCGGCGGGGGGTGGGGAGGGCTCTCCCACTCGCTCCCTTATGCCGCCGGACAGACGGCGGGGACTCCGCGGGGCTCCGGAAGGACCCGAGGAGTCCCCGGGCTACGTGGCGGGGCTGCGGAGCTCTACCCTGCGCCCCCCGGACTGCGTGCCTCCGAAGGAGCCATCGGGCCCCGACGGGACGGGGCGGGGCACGAGGGGGTAGAGAGGGCTGGGCTGGCCCTGGACACCTGGTGTCCGCGCCCCCTAGGCAGTGCGGCCCCGCAGGGAGTCAGTTAGTCGGTCGGTCCTTGCACCCCGGCTGCTCTCCGAGGAAGAGTGGGGACAGCGAAGAAGCGCTCCCCCCCCCCATTCCCGCACTCGCTGGCTCCTCCCTCGCTTCCCGGCTTGCCGGTTTAACCCTTTGCTGGCTACTAGGAGGCGGGAGTGGTTCTCCGTCTAGCCCACTCCTCCCTCCTCCTCCCAACCTTGGGAGACCCGAAAGGCCGAGTTTCCATAGCCTCCGCAGCGCCATGCCTTTAGAGAAATCCCTTCTTGGTGTGAGTGTGTGTGTGCGTGCGCGCGCAGTAGTGTTAAGGAACGCCCCCCTCCCCCCATGGACTTGTCCGGAATGGGGGTTTCCTCTCCCAACTTTGCGAGAAAATACGCAGTTTCTTGAGTAGTTTCCCGCTCAGCTCCACCCCCCTCCTGCCCTGTCCCCTGCCATCGTTTGTGTCCCCTAGGAAAACTTCAAGATTTCACTTTCTCCTTGGTCCTCAGACTCCGAGCCCTGCTTGTACAGCTCTAGGAACAGTGTGTATAGGAGTTTGTGTGAGCGAGTGTAGAGGCGCATGCCCTGGCGCGCAGATAGACACTTGGGCAGGTGTCGCTGAGTGCTGGCCTTTTATCCCCGTCGGTGACAGGGCAGAAGTACGTGAGTGTGCGCGCTGGTTTCTGCTCTGGTGGGTCCCACGAGGGCTGTGTGAAATTTTGCGCGCGCGAGTTTGGGACAGGAGGCAAAGGGTATACGTACTCGGGATTGTTGTATGCACCTTAAAACTTTTACAAATGTGTGTAAGTTTGGGCGCGCCTGCGGGTGTGTGTGTGTGTGTGTGTGTGTGTGTGTATACACACGCGCGCGCGCGTATTTACGTGATATGCCCCAAAGGGGATATCTCATCCCTCGCCAGAGGGCAGAAGAGGACCCAAAAGTGGGAGCCGATTGTTAGTTTCACAGAAACGTCTTTCTCTTTTACAGAGGGGTGGAAAGGGGCCTCACAGGTGCCCTAGACACCTCTAGCGACCTCTTTCCTGGCACTATCAGCCAATCTCTGATTTAAGCGCCTTCTTTTAAAGGCCTCTTGCCTTATGCCCTAATCCTGGCTAGCTCAAGGTGCTTAGCAGAGCCACTAGGTGAAGCATAGTTGGGGGAGCCGCTTTGGGACCGTCGCCAAGGGGCGCGGACGGGGTTGGGATTGTTGCAGTGGTGCGTACTGCGGGTGCCAGGGTCATCTGGACGCAGTCGGATCCTGCCGGTGACAGCGTGGAAGCACTGGGTGGCCACTCCCGTGAGTGGAGCCGAGGAACCCTCTGCGCGGGCCCCTGGCTCCTCCTTTCCTGTCTGTGCCAGGGTCCAACGCTGTGTACGGACGGCATACAGTCGGCGCCTTATAAATGCTAGACTCACTCTTCTCATTCATTCCATGCTCCTTTTATAATCTGTCATTCTTCTCTCGTACTCCTTCGATTTCTCTCATTTTCTTCCCAACTCTTATTCATATTTTATGATCCCATCTCTATTCTCTCCCTCGCTTCCCTCCCTTACTTTCTCCGTCCTTCCCTTCCCAAATATGCGTACTCCTTCTTCTGTCTTCTTTGACTGCATCTTCTTTTTTTTTTTTGAATCCCAGCCTTTTGGCCTCTCCACGTCTGCATGCATTTCCTCGCCTCTCCTTTGTCCCTCCCCCACTTCCCCCTTTTCATCTTGTTCCTTGGCGGGGTGGTGGTGGTGGTAGTGGCTCTCCGTCTCCTTGCACCTCACGCTGAAGTGCCCCCTGCCGGTTCTGTCTTTTGTTACTTGCAGGGCTCTCCCAGCCTAGCAGCCCCTGAATTTTCTCTCCCGCTTTTCCAGGTCAGGTAGAAACAAAAAAGGGCATATCTGGGCCGCCTGTCCCTCTTTTCTAAGGCAGAAATAGGGCCCTGCGTTTCCCTGGTCCCATTCTGCGCAGGGCCCGCGCCTGAGGTGGGGGTAGTGCTGGAGGGGGCGGCGGGGAGGGAGTGTTGGGGGTAGCAGGGTGGGATTTGGCGTCCTTCCCCGGAATGAGCCGCGGCACAATCTGTCGCTGGGTTTGTTTGCCGAGCTGCCTCCGGAGCGCAATGGGGCTGGCTCCCGGGGAGCGAAATATCACAAGATGCGGAGACAGACGCTGAGGGGCGGGTGGGCGGCGGGCTGACTCAGGTGTGCTTCATCGGCTCCCTGGGCTGCAGCTCTTCTGAGAGGGGTGGGAGGGGACACTGGCCCCCCAACACAGGCCGGCAACCAAAGCTTGGAGGGGATCCCCTTCCTGCGATGAGCGGCGGAGGAGAGGGTCCTTAGCTCTAGGCCTCTCCTTCAGGCCAAGTTGGGATTCCCTAGACGGTCACATGCTCTCTAAGCCACCGTCTTGTACAGGTGTCCGGGTTTCCCCTAGCTATCTGCTGACTCACCGCTTCCCACTCTCGACTGCCGGCGTTTTGAGGGCAGGAAATGCTTCTCATACAGTGTGTCCAACAGGTGCTGAGCAAGGCTGTTGGACCACTGGCTGGTGGGCGGAAGGGTGGCTAGTATTGGTTTCCCAGAATCTCACTGTGCATTTGGTGTTCCCTGTGGGCTATTCCTACCCCTTGTTTCTCCTGATATTTACATTTAGGGCCCCCTCTCTTTGCACCTCTTGACAGCTCTCTCTGGATCGGAACACCCGCTTTCTCTAACTACCCCGGACCATTCACTCTTCCTTATGCCTCCATCTCCTTATTTGCACATAGAGACTGTATGGCTCACCAGGCTACATAAAATCTCCATCTCTCCAGGAGAGCTGGCTTATTACTGTTTCCAAGTCATCGTTTTTGGTATGGGCTGTCTCGCTAGAAGCAGATCCCGTGATAGACTTTTGCAGTTAAATGGTTGGAGATTCCCAAGGAGTAGGCTGATGGCACAGTGTAATCGAGGACTGTGGTTTGGTTGTGTAGGCCCATCTCTGCCTGGACAGTTAGCCAGGCGCTGGGTACTTCTTGGCCACAGAGCTGGCCCGCCCTCTGGTGGCTGTAGGTGGAGCTGCAGTCCCCATGGAAGCCGAAGATCTCTAGAAAGGGGTTGATGAATGTAGACTCTTTCCCGAGCAAGCCAGTGTCTGCAGAAAAGCGGGCTTCTAGAAGGACTCGCAGAAGAGGTGGGATATTGGCACAAATGGGCTTTTATGTCCTTCATGATCACGACTATTCTTACTGTGCCACTGGGGCTCCTCTCCCCTCTGGTGGCCCCACTTAGTGAGTTGGCATAGTCCCCCTCCCAAAACTTGGCCTGCTCGGCACGGTCAATGTTAGAACCCCAGTCAGTAAATGTACACCGTGGGATTGCTCAGTGGTCCTTAACACAGAGGCTCTGCGGAGTTTCCTCTTGCAACTCCCGGGTTAAACAGGTGACCATCGCCAAGTGGCTTAATTTTCCCAAGTCTCCAAGTTTCTCGTGTAGAAAATGGAAGAGAAATAGCCTCTCCAGATCACAGAGTTGATTGAAGATTAAATGAGATAAAGCATGAAAGGATCTAAGAGTCTCTGACCCCATGCGCAATAATGCTAAATAATGTCATTATTTGTGCTTTTAGCCTAAATGACCTGGAGACTCAAGTAAAAGGCAGAGTTAGGACTTAAGTTCATCAGGAGCAAGGGGTAATGCTAGGCGTGGGAGTCCTTAGTCATAGTGGCCTCCCATGGAGCCGAACTTGACCTTGGCACCCTCTCCTAGCACATGCCAAGGTTGTCCGGTATGATGGCAGGATTCCCAACCTGAACCAGAAGTTCCAGACTGAATTCTGCCTCTGAGTGTAACCTGCGATGGCCTCTCAGGTCTTCGGTTTCCCCGTTGTTGAAATGGACATCACGGAGTTGGTGTTCCTGAGAGTCTGGCTTTCTGGCATGCCTGGTTCTCTGGGGCTTCTGAGATGGAAGTCACTGAGAGTGGAGTCTGTCAGCCAGATTCCACACTGCTCTCACCTTCCCAGCTCTGGCTGAGGAGGATGGGCTCCAGTAGATGATGAGGATTGGTAGAGATTCCGCCGAACCTCATTTGGGGCTCCTCAGCTCTCTCTCGCTGTCCACCACGCAGGGCTAGTGAGTGTTCCCCTGCATTACTCTGATCTGGCCAGTGACCACACACACTGCACACTCGTGCAGATGCACCTTGCAGCCCAGTTTCTCCTTGAGCCCTGTGCCTTGCTCTGCCAGCCCGATGGGGACAGGATACCTCATCAGATCCTTTCTAAATTGAGGGGGCGGGGAAGTCCCGAACCATATTAGTTTAAAGGTCAAGCTTGGGACCTGGGGAGGTGGTTTGGTGATTAAGAGCACTTGCTCTCGCAAAGGACCAGAGTTCTGTTCCCAGCATCCACATGGCAACTAACAACCGTCTGTGACTCCAGTTCTTTATGGAACTGTGTTTAAGTACTTACTTCAGGCCACCGACTTCTGTGCACTGGATGATTTAGAGTAATTCTGTGAGGGAGGGTTTGTTTATAGATCTTTTAACAGGTGGAACACAAGCTTGAAGAAACTGGAGCCATCTTGTACTTGTGTAAGAGGAGTCTTGCCTTGAGCCCCATGTTCTTGGGTCTCTTTTCTGGCCTTTCTCCAGCCAATATCCCTTCATGGGATAAGAACTACTTAAGGCCAGGGAAGTGTGCCTTCCTAGAACCCATATGGCCCTGGTGGTGACTACAGAGTCCTTTTCTCAAATGGCCCAACTCTTGAGGACACCCATGAGCCTTTTCTCCAACCCACCTGTTATGTGTCCCCATAGCAGAAGCTGGGCTTCGGGGAAGTGCTTTAGAGAGGATGCTCATGGACCTTAGATCTGCAGTAGGTGTTTATGTGCATGTCCCCGAGGATTCTTGTTTAGGTCAAACTACAGTTGCAAGAGACGAGGACACAGTATATTTCTGTATAGAACCATACGGAATCCAATCATTCTAAGTTTGAATCTAGATTTCTAATATCAGGTTTCTTTGAAGAATGCAGGAATGGTGCCTGTGACTTGGAAAGCAAGGGTTACCTTGGTGGAGACGTCTTGTTTGCTTTGACTGCTGTTGGAGGAAAGAACTCCCAGCC